ACTTCCGACTCGGCTGAAACTCCAAACTACTAACATGGGAATTGAGCCTTTTTCTTTAAAATCATCTTACCTGGGAATATCTTCTTCAATTGTTGCACATCCATAAAGAAATACAATCACCCCAATTATAGAAGATGGGATGAGGAATGATGTATATAATCCCAGCCAGGCAAAATACAGTCCAATTTTTTCTCCAAAATACTTTCTGGAAAAGAAAGAAAATATAACACATATTAAGAGCATTATATACTTTCTTCATTTCTGTTGGTTCTAAACCCGACAATGAGTCAGCGTAAATAAAAAGGGATTTTTTATTAAAGGTAGTTACACAAGAAAAGAGGAACCTCAACACAAGGAATCAACAACTGGTCTTTTCTGAAATGAACTGCATTCCACTGGAATCACATATACGCACCTGTCCTGGCTGCTCATGTGAAATAGCTAGGAGAAGTAATCCAGCAAACTAAATAGCAAACTAAAAAGATGCCATAAATTTTGGCATCTTCACTAGGCAAACATGAATAACACATCATTATTTCATGAGCCAAAGTATTCAACCCACAGAAAAACACATCTTTTGGAACTAGTTTATTTAAATAAAATTATGGGTGGCTTTTACTTTTTTTTCATTTTTCTGCATTTTTAAATTCTTACTTTGTTAATGAACTACTCTTATAACTTAAAAAAAAAATTTATTTTTAAAAGAAAATTTGCCAAGCCATATCTGTTTGATCTCTCAGCTCATAAAGTTAGTAAATTACCCTTAAGCCCCTGAAAAGGATTTTCCCTTAGATAAATATTGGTCATGGACACCTGATGAGACAAATATAATCCACAGAGGAGCAGTATATTTTATTTCTCAAGAGCCTCTGACATAAAATCCAGGAGGAAAATGGGACTTCAGCCCACTTTTTGATGGAAGCACTAAAGAGTAAGAACAACAGTGAATAGAGTCTCTTTATCCACTACGAGCGGTGCTGCTCCCACTTAGGATATAGACAACTACAAGAAAAGGTAGCATCCACCCTAACAAGAGAAATCTGGATAATCTGTGAAATCAAAACTTTTCTTGAACCCATCAGAGAGTCGAGGTTGCAAGATAACCAGGTGAACTAATTTAAAAAAATACAAATAAAAAAGAGACAAGCCCCTCTAAGAAAAGATAGGACACACAAACAGTTTCAGAGCATTTGGCAGAGCATGGGAAGAAAAAGTCGTCAACATAAAAGCAAGTAAGAAGAAATAGCTAAATTTTTTTAAATCCTAAAAGGCTGAGTGTAGGTTAGCATGGCAGATTAAAATAACTGGGAGCTCCAGACTCAAGAGGAGTTTACACTCATTCACAAGATCCTATTCAACGACCGCCACCCAGTACTTAGGAGGGAGATAATAGGCATGGTGGGAAAATAGAGAGGGCCCTCTTAGTTGCACACAGGCATGAAAGCCTATCCATCTTCTAGGACCATCTCTCCTTCAAGTCAAAAGCCTTAAGCACCAAGTAACAAGATCAGTCTGCTGCTGGGGGAGGGGCCAGAGGGAGACCCCTCTGTGGCAAAGGACTGCTGAGAGCTGAGGGTCGAAATGGAACAATGAGCACAAATTCTCAGCCTTCCATGGCCGACAAGAACCATGTGGTAATAGCATCCCGCTGCTGAAGAAATTTGAAGTCTGTGGTATAGTGGAGGTGATTCCAGCAATGACAAATTCCAAATCTAGCAACCTCTGACTAGATTGACTTCGCTCCCCTCACTAACAGCCTGACAGAAGAGGCATAAGCACATTTCCAGGAGTAAATACCATTTACCTCAGTTTCTATTGTGTAGAAACAATGTCCAAAATTCAATAAAAAATCTTGAGACATACAAAAAATAATAAATCCATTGTCAAGTCATAAGGAAATCAACAAAACCAGAGTTGATCTAGATGCCAGAATTATCAGACAGATTTTAAAATAATTATAATATGTTAAGGAAGAATCTAATACGAAAGATGGACAACACGCATAGGGTTTTTCCTTGAGCTGGGTGCTGGTTGCATGGTTGTATTCAGTTTTAGCAAGCTGAATATTGTACATATACACTCTTCTATATGTATACTATACTTTGATTTTAAAATGGTTTTCAAAAGACACCACATGTCTTACAGATCAATAGTTTCTCTGGAGATCAACTTGTCTATTTTCTTTCCCTCAAGTCATACAGTATTTAAAGGCAAGCACCCAAAGAGAAAGTTCTGAGCCTTTAATTAAAGTTCACGATGCTTGGTTCTCTAGAAGATACTCTGGAATTTCCCAGCTACAGAAGAAGCCAGGCAAGCCAGCAAAGGCCTCTCCTTGGTGAAACCATGAGATGGGGCAAACATGGGTTAAATATTCAGTCAATTCAAGGTTCAATCTCCCCATCAGAATGGTCTCTCGCAGCTCAGTGATCCCCCCACCACCATCCCCTTTACAAGGTAGTATCTAGGTGAGGAGGAAGTGTGTGCCTCCTTATGATGGAAGAGGAGAGGGAGCTTCTACCCCGAAGGCCGTTCTTTGGGAATTTCCTGATTTAGACCTCCGAGCCCTGTACTAGTCAAAAATCCAATTTCATTTTCTCCCGGTGTCCCTCTTTTTGGCTTTGCTCCAGCTCACTGACCTCTTACTGTTCCTCAAACACATCATATCTGCTCCTACCTCAGGGCCCTTCCTGGCTGTGCCCTCTACCTGGAACACCCCTTCCTCAGATCTCATACTCACTTCCCCTGTCTCTGCTCCAACACTACCCTCTCAGAAAAGCCTTCTATGATCACTCATCCCAAATGTCAGCTAACCTCTCACCTTGCTCCTTTTTTCTTCATAACACTATCATTACCTAACATTGTTTTCTAAATTTATCCAATTTTCTAAGTTTGTGTCCATCTCCACTACTAGAACGTAAGCTTCATGAGAGCAGACACTTTTTCTTTCCTGTTCCTGATTGTTTCTTTAGTGCCTAGAATATGCCTGGCACATGGCAGTGGCTTAATAAGCATTTGCTGAGTGAATGGCTAAACCCTCACCATAACCCCATCAGGTTGTTACTAGGCCTGTCCTTCTATGCGAGAGGTGAGCACAGCTCAGAGGAACTGAGTAACTTGTGTTAAGGTCACACAGCTGACAATAGAGATATCTGGACTCTAACTCAGGACTGCCTGATTTCAAGCCTATACTTTAACCATGACATGTATCTCTTAGGTAACAGGGTAGATGATAATGCAGACTTGAGCTTTTCAGTTTACAAAGTGTTATGATTTATTTTCTACCTTCGTAAAAAACAAAAGGAACTCTAAGGATCATCTAAAACAGAATTCTCCACTCAATGATTTACAAAACCCTATAACCTCCAGAAGCACATTCACATCGGAAAGGGCAGCAATGACATGTGTTCCGATTTCTATTCGTAAAAAAAAGCAATACATGAAATGATTATTTAGACAGTTTCTATTTATTGATGAGCAATGCAAGAGCTTCCAAGTATACATCAGATAGTGATTAGAGACACATGCTCATGGCTAGTTCCCCAATCATTTATCACCTAGTAGTTCTGGCTATTTAACATTATTTTCATTTTCACTCTTAAATGTTGTTTGTTTTTACCTACAACCAATCTTTACATAAAGATGGAAACATGAGGAATACTGATGGTGAAATATAGCATGTTGATGCAGAGCATAAAAATGGCAAGAAAGAATTCAATAAATGTACCTTGCTGATATTCACGCAGATCCCTAAATTGTATACGAATGACATATAAAGATATTGTCATTACCAAAAACCGTTAAAATGGAAAAAGCTATTAAATCCAATTATATCCAATTGGCTTTTCATTTATGGAAGTTAGAGGTTGCCCCTGACAGCCATGTATGATCTGCAGAGTAATCCTTGCAAAAATAGCCTAAAATTTTCTCTTTTAGCTTATTATTCAGGAATGAAGGATAAATATTAGATGATATACCAGTTCAATTTTAACTCAAAGTGCAGCCATATCAAATTTCAGGTCATAAAAGTGCTTGTTGTTGTGGTGGTGGTGGTGGTGGTTGTTATTGTTGCTGCTGCTGTCGTTGTTTGTCTATTTTAAAGTTGTAATACGCTGATAAATTTTAATCTAAGTTTTTATATACATCATTATCCAAACCAAAAATGACATACTCGGCTATTTAAAAATGTAGTTGTTGAAACATGTTTTTTTTCTTGCATAATTTAATTTGATAACATAAACTGTATGTGCCACCTGTTTAAAAGGAAAAGGATAAACTTGTCTTTATATATGATAAATATTATAAAAGACTGTATGCAATAAATTCTATAGCATAATATCCACTAATATTTAAAATGTGTACTTAGAATCATTTCTCTATAATTTTCCACACAATATTGACTTAAAAAAAAACAATCTCTAAGGGAGTTCAGGGGATGATACATGTGAAGACGGCTTGTGCAGAGCTGCAGACCCCCTCTATCCCCATCTCCACCAGGTCTCTGTCCCAAGAGGGTGACCTCAGTGGATTGTGTCAACCAGGCCCCCTGCTCTCTGGCTTCTGGGATGGCCAACAGGAGGCACCAACAGAAAAAGGAAGGGTAGGGGAATAAAGACAGTGGGATACTGATTTCCATTCCAACTGTCTGGCCACGATGGGTGCCATGGCTCCTCTCAGAGGCGTCCCTACATGGTAGCTTCAGCACTCTGGGTTCTGGGTTCTGTAACCCCAATCTCCTCCTGCCCCTTCGAGCCTGCAGGTGCTAATGATTCCCCACTGTTGCTCATCCCTGGGGTGTCCCCATCCCTTGTGGATTTCCCTTAATCCTCAATTACCCACTTGAGTGTGTCATCTCATCCCTAAATAATACAAGGCTCACGAATCAAAATAGGGGATGACGTGACTTAGAAGTTACTGATCTGTTACAATCCTCTCATTTTACAGATTAGGGAACTGAGGCTGTAGGACATTACCAGACTTGTCCAAAATCACCGCCAATAACTAGGCAGAGTCATAATTAAAGACCAGAGCTTAACAAGGGAAAAATAGAGAACACACATTATAAGATTGTTAGAAGAACTGTAGGAGTTAATATATATACAAATTGCTTCAAACAGCACTTAGCACATAGTAAACACTCAGAAGTGTTAGCTAGCATCATCATCAGCACCAGCATTGTGTGCCAATTCCCAATCCAGTTAAGAAAAA